TTTTTTTTTTTTTTTTTTTTTTTTTTTTTTTTTTTTTTAACAATGTTGAATGTTCTGGGCATTGTCCGCATTATTTACATCACACCCAAACAAAACAAACAAAAAAAAACAGTTGTATGTAATTTGACTCCAGAGTCCAGACATCATTAACACCTTCCTATGTATGCTGCACGGATGTAGATACTCCAAATTTGACACCAAGGGCCTCGCCACACCACTCTCGAAATGTGAAAACGTCAAAAATGTGCCGGGGTGCATCTGGCCATGCTCGAGCGGGACGTTCATTCTCATTTTGCACATTTCAAGAGTGGTGTGGCGATGCCCCAAGTTAAATCACCAGTACTTGGCCCAGCTATCGGCCACGGAAAAAAAGAGAGTAGAAAAACGAGAAGTTTCTCGTCGGATGAATCTGGGCGCTTCTGTAGTGGCCCGTACGTTTCCTAAAAAAAAACAGAAGTTTCTCGTCGGATGAATTTGGGCGCTTCTGTAGTGTGCCGTACGTTTCCTAAAGCCGAGGCTTGTTTATGTGCACCACTTACGGAAGTACCGGTGGTGTGCACTGCTGTGACTGTCCTAACCCCCCCTCTTTTTATTTATTTATTTATTTATTTATTTATTTTAAAGGGGCGACGGCCTTGAGATATTATCATTGAGCTGACCCGCCCCAAGCAATTCATTAGTAGTTGGTTTTACTCGTCAAGTTCCATCATCTGGATTCGAACACAGGTCTATATATTTCAACAGTTCATGGGTGTACCCACTGAGCTAGGCTCTTGGGTACCCCCCCTCTCTTTCGCCACAGTTGTGCTGCTCAGACAGACCTCACTGCAACCCCCCCCGGCTTTTTTCAAGGGCCTAATGAAAACAAAAAGAAAGGTCATCATTTAAGGTCCACAACTGTCTGTTGATAGGAATTGATGTGGCGCAGAGTTTACTCACATTTAATCATTAATGACCTCCTGTCTTTCCCCTTTTTGAAAAGTGTAGTAGGACCTAACATTAAACCACCAGTACTTCCTACAGTCTAGCGTTAGCCCTACACAATTTTAGGAAACGTACCGGCCACTACAGGAGCGCCCAAATTCATCCAACTAGAAACGTCTCATCTAATGTCCAGTTGATGTAGCTCAGTGGGTTTTTTTTTTTTTTTTTTTTTTTTTGCTTGCAAAAACATCCCCTCCAGTGTAGCTCAGTGGTTAGAGCACCCGTTGGAAAAATTTAATGCGCATTGTGGTATGAGGTTGCAGGTTCAAAACTCAATTGCAGCCTCGCGCATGGACACAGGCAGGGCATTAGAATGATGCACGGCTGGACACACTCCACTTGGGCTGAAGCAGGTCAGCTATTACAGACACTGCCGGCGCACCACTCAAGGGTTAGTCCGGGTTGTTATATGTCAGATTCTACCTAGTACGCCGGTTTACTTGAGGGCATTGGCTACTGGTTGCTCTGATGTTCTCCGACATCATCATCCATCATGCATGGTAGGTTATCCTAGTTATATACTACAGGTTATAGGTTCGAGTCTGGCATAGCTGTTATACACACATACTCATAGTGTCACATGGTTCTCGGTACCTACACTGCCCACGGGCGCACCTATACACCCTCTTAGGGCGTGCACCCGTGGCCTATGGGCAAATTGCACAGCCTACGGTCACTGATACACTGCTTATACATACACATATGTTACGACACGGACACTGACGTATCAGTAGAGTCAGGTGGGGGAGACCGATCTCTGTCATGGGTTCGTCATGCAGTTCTATGGGGGGTCTGCTCTGGTCTGTGCGAATACTTGGCCGTGATTCGGTTCGTCGGTATGTACTGATAGTGATACTGATTGTGCCTGACGTCCAAAGTCCTCAAGTAACATGGTTTGCGCGTTCAGGCTTCCACTGGGGTTGGGTAGGGTAGCTGTCCAGTCCAGGTGCCTATAACTACTGTTCGTCTACGTCGCCCTCTGAGGGGTAGGGTGATTGTCCTGAGGGCTTGCATCACTGAGGTAGGATATTAGTAGGTATAGGGGTTGCGTTAGGAGAATTGAAGTGAGGACGGGTAGGGAGGCAGTCCTGCCGTCGCGCGTCAGCGTACCCACTACTAGCTGGTTGAGCTGGAATAGTACCAGGAAGGTGACCCCTCCGATATCAGAATAGGTGGGAGCCATGAGGCCAAGCCTGGTCGGCGTGCAGTCTGTGATTAGCGCCAGTGGAATACCACCAACTCGGGCCATACCTCCCCACGAGAACTTCCGATTCGGTTGCTGGGAATAATAATGCTGGGTTGGTTGCCTACTGGGAAGTCTCCACTGCAGCGCTCATACGACAGTACCCACCTGGGTCGACCCAACCTCTATAATAACCTGGGCTTTGAAAAAAAAAAGAAAAAAAAGCGTTCATCTGTTTCCGTTCGGATTCGATCTTTTCTTCTTTTTTTTTGGGGGGGGTAACTTCGGCGCAGTCATCAAAACAGTTTGTAATTGCATTCGAAACTGCATTTTAGCAGTTTCGTCAGGGCCAGAGTTTCAATTGCAGTTGAGACTTGGCCCGAGTTTCAATTGCAGTTGAAACTCGGCCCTATGCAGTTCAGTCAGGGCCCTTGTCTATCCACGAACAGCAGATAAACAAAAAAAAAACATCCCTTATGCTGTGATTGCGGTCCGATACAGGATGCTACAGTACTTGTCTGGAACTCAATGAAGCGTGGAATCCGCCCTGCCT